GACGTGAAACACAGAGTTTATGCTTGTATTATGTAAGATAGTTTTAGCGATCACGATTGCTAAAGGCTTCCTATTTATTGTCTATTTGCACGAGTATTTATGGGAGCTGAAGCTGGGAGTTTCCAGCCTTAGCGGCATAATTTCTCGTGTTAATTTTATTTTGAGATTTGTAGAGTCTGAACAAAATTTCTAGGGACATTGTGTAGGGGGTTGAAGTTTATGTGCTGCTTGTGGGTGAGCTCCAAGGGGATGTCACTTTCCGAGTCATCTCAAACTCTCTAATCTGTTTCATTTCTCTCCCCAGCTGCCTTACACAGCCACGAGGACTGAGAGTGCTAGGCAACCAACCTTTACGTGCACATCCCCACATGAGTCAATTATTAACTTTTGTTCTTAATCCTCACCCAGGGATATTCTTTCATTGATTTTTAGAGAGAATGGAAGAGAGGGAGCTGGAAGGGAGAGGGAGAGATACACAGAGAGAAACATCAATGTGAGAGACATCGATTGGTTGCCTCCTACACGCCCCTGATTAGGGCCGGGATCAAGCCTGCAACTGAAGTATGTGCCCTTGACTGGAATCGAGCTTGGGGACCCTTCAGTCCCCAGGCTGACGCTTTATCCACTGAGTCAAACTGGCTAAGGCAGGAGTGAGCTATTTAATTACAGTTGAATTGGACTTCCCTATGGGGCTCCTGTACATTGTGAGGGATACCTCTGATACCTCTACAGAGATTCTTAGTTGCCTAAGAATACCCAAGATTAGAGCTGGAGGAGGATGTGTCCCTTATCTTTAGAGCCAAATAAGTTCAGGTTCTCATTTACCCAGCAAAGGTCTTGTTCAGACCTTCAGAAAGCAATTCCAATTGAAAATTTTTAATCCTGTGCTTAGTTATCTTGACTCTAATCTTTAGCCTAGGTTCTCTCAACCCTTAACCTTTAGCTCTACCTTGAGGATTTCACAAAACAGCTCAAAGAAAGTCAGCCTCTAACCTTAAAACAGGGAGGTGGGGATTTCCAAAGAAAACTCAAGTCCACCATTGCAAAGCGAGGAGCCAGTGGGGCACAGCGGGCCCCTGTTTGTACCTAGTACAGTCCAGGTCTGCAAGGTGGCCCTGGATGGGATCCTCTGGAATCCCACTGCACTACACCATAATAAGACAATCCGCGTATTGGTAAGGGTATCCGAGTTACGGCACCATCATGTTGGTGGTGAAAATGGCACCAGAATGTTACCAATGACGGGACCTTGGTTCAGCAACATCAGTCCTTGAATTCTGGCCAAGGAAGAATTCAGAGCCAAGACTCAAACTATAAGGAAGAGTTTATTTAGAAAGTCACGGAGGTAGAAGAAATGGGCTCAGGAAACAAGAGACAGAGACAAAAGAAGGGCCCTTTGAGTTTAGGAGAAAGAGAGAGTTCAGGAAAATGTACTTGGGGGAAAGGAGGTGGGGAAGGCGTAAGTGTGCTCCACAGAGAGAGCTGCTATTCTTATATTCCTATTTATTAATTATTGTATTCTTTGCCATACGAACAACCGTAAACCTACTTTTGCCCCACCCTCCATACGACGGTGGGCTAAGTGTAATTATTATCATCTTTCAACTCTTTCTATAGAAAACCTATCTTCTAGGTGAACTAGCTCCAGACCAGTTCTAAGCTAGGTTAGTTCTCCCTCCTGCTAAGCACATTTCCATTCTTCTATCACCATCCTGCTATCTATCACAGGCTGAAGGTGTGCAACCTAATTCTAATTCCAGCCCAAGCAAATTTATTGCCCTCACAATCATTGCAAAGTGCCTATATTACCAATAAAAGCACATCTTAGGGATTCTGGGTGATCCATGAATTCGAAGCAAACATTTGTTATCGATTTCCCTTCTGTTTAGGTTGACCCCTTGGCCGGAGAATAAATCCCTTCCCCAGCTTTGGTACTGATGTAAATTCTAGAATACAAGCCAATTGGAAGTTTGGGCCTAACTATAAAGATGATTTCTTTCAGAGCTGGAAAGCAATTCTGTATTTCATGCACTGGAAAGGTAAAGGTAAACCCTACCCCTTATAGCAAAGACAAATACACACACACACACACACACACACACATATGTATATATATATACTCAAATATAAATATATATACAAATATAAATATTTTTACATATATAGTATATATTTAAGTATATGTTATATATATTTAAGTATATATTACATATCTCCTATTTGTTCTTTTTCTCTGGAGAACCCTGACAAGTACAATTCCCAGTCTTAAAGTTCTCATAAGTGAATGTCCTTTTGCATCCCGGACGGAACCGAAGAGTACAAGGAACTCACCCAATGAATTACACAGCAGAATGTAGAGGCAGAAACAGAAAGGCGATCCATACCTTTACAGGACAGCCATAGTGCTTGAAAGGACAGTCTTGTTCCGCTTCAGGACACACAGCCAGGTGTTTATCCATCTATGAAAGGGACAGCCTTATGCTACAGAAATTCACTGGCCATTCTCCAACTGTCTGGTGCAGGGGTCCTCAAACTACGGCCCGTGGGCTACATGCGACCCGCTGAAAACATTTATTCGGCTGCCTGTCCTGCTTAGCAGCCGACTCGTCCCGGGTCCGCAGTGCACATGTGTGGAATGTCTGAGGGACAGTGAACTTGCCCCCTGTTTAAAAAGTTTGAAGACCTCTGGTCTGGTGTAACTGCAGCGAGCAGGGAGCCAAGGGAGGCATGGGAAGAAGGGCGGGAACAGGAGCAGGTAAAGGCGGTGCTAAGGCTTGGTGGAGGGAGTGCTATGGTGAAAACGGAGGAGAATTCTCTGGAAATGGGAGGGGAAGACAGAGACATGGCTATCATGGGTGTCGTTTAAGCCTGGGGCCTTCGCGTAGGCGATTTTGTCAGACACACCCCATCACGACTGCTAAAACTTTATCTTACATGAAATCTACTGAGAGAATTATTTACAGTTACCTCATTTCTGGGAATAACCTGCACACACTTGTTGGGACAAGGTACTGGGTACTCGGGACACACGTTTTCTTCATGATTCTGAAACAGAAAGTGTGATGAGACAAAGCCACCTTCGCTTTCCAGGGTCCCCTTTATGCCCTCGGAGTGTTTATACACATGTCTCTTTGGGAATCTATGCATGTGGCTCACCGTCAGGAAGGTATGGCCCACTTCCAGAAAGGATTGCATATAGACGGCCGCTATCTTGTTATAAAGCAGCGGTTCTCAACTTGTGGGTTGCGACCCCGGTTTTTTTTTTTTTTTTTAGTTTTATTCATTTCAAACGGGCCAGATCTGGCCTGCGGGCCGTAGTTTGCCCACGGCTGCCTAAGACCATCCTGCTTATCAGATATTGACGATTCATAACAGTAGCAACATTATAGTAATGAAGTAGCAACGAAAGTAATTTTATGATTGGGTCACAACATAAGGAACTGTATTTAAAGGGTCAGAAAGTTGAGAACCACTGGTATAAAGGAATTCAGTTCCATTAAATTTCCCAGTTATTCCGAAAGAAAGTCGGGGGGCACAGGACTCCGAGAGGGCAGGCTGTGGGACTCATCAGTGCGGCTCCTCTGGCACAGGTGAAAGGTACCCGTGCTCTTGTTTCATGCCCACAGCCTACCTCCCCGGTCAGACCACAGCATCCTGAGGACAGACAGTACCGCCACCTCCTTGTGACCCATCTCTAGCGTCCCTCCTTGCACACTCATCCTCAGCAGGTGTTCCAACAATATTTTTGCCCCTGATAAACGAGTACAGTCCTACCACCAAGAGGGCTTTTGTTTCTTACACAACTTCTCTCACATAAAGTTATTCTTTAGACCTAGTATTTCTGTACAAAAATAAATCTAGAAAGGTGGGCTTCTGGTAGCCCATCTGATTCCCTGTGATCACTCCAGGAGAATTTAGCCCCCTAAAGGTGAGGAAATTTTTATTTTTTTATTTTTTTACCTGTAGGTTGATAACTACCACCTCCTTTTTGCAATAGAGGCATTTTTCCTCTCGAAATTGGCAGTCTGCGCTCAAGTGCTCTTTCAGATCTTTCCGAAGGACTGGCTGCCGACAGCTCTCATTGGAACACTGCACAGCTTGAAATAAGCACTGCTGGAGGTGGTCCTGCGACAAACACATAACAGGGCGGTGGGAAGGGAGGCGCTGAAAGGCTAGAGGGAGCGCTAGGGGGCGGTGGGGGGAAGGACAGCCGTGCCTGTGGGCTCTGAGTGCCGAACAGAGGGCTGCTTGGGCCCAGGCTCTGAAAGCCAGCCTTGCAAGGTGGGAATTAGGAGGGGGGCGAAGGTGGGGGAAGAAGGAGGAATAACGAGTTTTAGTTTAGATTACCTAGGAACGTGCTCATGTTCTCAGGTTAGTTCTTGAATATTTCCTTAAGGCTTGCCAATGAATTGACCAGACCTCAAGAATAGTTTTTATTTCTTTTGTGCACTCTTTAACCTCACCCCTAGCACCAGGCACTAATTTGCAGATGGTAAAAGCCAGGAAAGATGGGGGTGGGGGGGGGCAGTGGTAGAAAAGAAGGGATTAAAGGAAGAAAAGGGAGGGCGAGGAAGCTGGTCCAGGAGTGGTCAAGAAAAGGAGGTAGAGGACATATAGGACCCACAGACCAAGAAGGAGCTGGGGATGGCCAGTCTTACAAGGTCGGGAGATGTTTTCAACTGGAATATAGGAGACTAATGACATTAACAGTGTTCATTCCAGTTGTCTTCACATTAGAGATTTATGAAAACAGGCATATTTCAATAGGACCTTTGAATGACTGTAAGTTACTGTGACTCTGACAAGTTATCAAAATCCTAATAAGGTTGTCTGCCTGGAAAATCCTTTAAAACAGGGTCGGAAAGCTATGGGCCTGGGGCCAACCTGGCCTGCTACTTGTGTTTGTAAATAAAGTTTTATTGGAGAATAGCCACATGCCTATCTATTTGTTCTCAGATGATCTATCCTCTAAAATGGGCAAGTTAAGCAGTTGCGACAGAGCCTGCAAAGCCTGAAATATTTACTGTCTGGCTCTCGGCAAACACAGTGTGCTGACTCCTTCTCTGAAGGAAAAAAGAGCAAAGAGTTTATCCATGGGAGATCAATCAATACTCCTGTTTTCCTCTGCCTCTGCTGGTAAGAAACAAATGGTGATGACAACTGAAATCCACATCTTGTCCAAAATTCACGGATGTTACCCTCAACGCATCAAAACAGTCAGCATTCATCAAGACTCCGCTCTCTGTGAGCTCCCCCACCCTGTCACACAAAGTGGGGAGAACAGTGAATGAGGGGAAATACGAAAGAAAGAGGTGGAAAGAAACCAGCCACTGTTCTCTAGAAGCTGATGATCTGGTCACGAAAGCTGATCCCTGGTCCATTTGAGCCCTGTTTCCCTTTCAGGCTTAGCGACAACCCAAAATTGGAAAGAGGCCCCGCTTGGGGACCTGACTATCTGACTATCGGAACCAGTGGCCAGGGGCTGTCATGGGGAAAACACAACCAAGTTCCGTGAGCCTCCAAAGAACTCCCTGGGCTAACAAGGAAATCATTTGCACATTTATAAGCTCAGTGCCTGCAGGGTCTGGAGGACTGACGGAGAAAAAAATCACCTGAGACATATTCCAGAATGTGTGGGCGGGAGTGGAAACTCTCAGCAGCCTCCGAGCATTCCCTGGAAGCTTGGGATGCCTGAGCCTTATTCATTCGTCGTGTGATCAAACCTGATAGGGGCCTGCCATGGCGGAGCCACATTCCCAGCCTGCATTTCATAAGCTTCCCGCTGGATGGAAGAGCCAGGTAGCAATTTCATTCCATAGGAAGCTCACGCCCCTTCGCCTCCCCTAGACCGTTTGTTTGCATCTCATAACAATGCTTCACCTTTAAACTCCATCCTATCCCTGTTCTGATCTGTTTTCTGCCTTAGATCATAAATTCTAAGAGGCCAGGGCCCACAGCTGCTGGGAAGCAATCACTCTGGCATCTGCAAATGCCTCCGAGCACTCATACCCTGGATCCTACCCTGGGGACCCCAAATCCTTCACAGTTCCCCCCAAAGGACATGTCCTTGCTTAAGCGTTCCTTTTGCCCAGCATATCTCACATCTTCACTTTTGGATCAATGCCCTTAACCCACAATGGAAGGCCTAGTTCAGGTAGCAAGTCCTCCATGCCTTCCAGGTAGAACAAACCTCTTCACTCACACCTTAGCCCTTTGCATACTATGGGGCAGAATTTCTAGGTAGGAATTCTCTGAGGGCAGCCCAATGACCATCCCCACCCCATGCTTAGCCCAGTAACTACCACACAAAAAAAGGTGTTCAATGCACGTCACTGGAAATTGGCGAAGGCAAATGTTGTTCGTAATACCAACCTGGTATCGTCCCAGAATAATCTTGGCATTACACCCAGGTGCATTTTTGCAATATACATATAAATTGAGGACTTCCCTTTTGCAGCAATTGTCTTTAAACACCTAAAAGATAAACATGATAGGTCTCACACCAAAGCTTTAGAGCAGCAAGAATTATTATTAACCTGGTCTTCAGGCTCATCTCAGAAGGCGGGTGGAAACTTCCAGACAGTGGTTGGAATGGAAATAGCAGATTCAGCATCATAAAAGGAAAAGCCGTCTCAGATACATACGTCTGACAGGCCGCAAACATGCAAGGCAGGTAGGTAATCAATGTCCAGCGCAGTAGGCTGCAGATGGGAGAAGCTCAGGGTGCATTTGACCCCGTATGCTCGGAGGTCAGGAGGTGGGGCTGTGGCTAAGGGTGATGCTTTCAGCTTCCTGCCCAGCGGATGGGTTTGTATTAGTCATCAAGTAGCGTCACTGAAGCGGTGCTGCCTTGCTATTTCAGCACAAACCAGGGGTTGGCAAACTTTCTCCATAAAGGGTGAGAGTAAATATTTTCAGCTCGGCGGGCCACGCTGCAATGGTCTCTGTTGCAACTATTCAACTTCACCATATACAATACTTAAATAAAGGGGCATAGCTGTATTCTAATAAAACATGATTTATGAACATTGAAATATAATTTTCACATGATGCATAACATTATTCTTTTAAAAACATATTTTTATTGATTTCAGAGAGGGAGAGAGAGGTAGAAACATCAATGATGAGAGAGAATCACTGGGGATACAGCCCGCAACTTAGGCATGTACCCTTGACTGGAATCGAACCTGGGGCCATTCAGTCCACAGGCCAATGCTCTATCCGCTTAGCAAAACCAGCTAGGACCGTAACATTATTCTTACCTTTATTAAAAATTTTTATTTTGAAATAGTTTAACTCACAAGAAGTTGCGAAAATAGTACAGAGTTCCTGCCCTAATCAGTTTGGCTCAGTGGATAGAGCGTTGGTCTGCAGTCTGAAGGGTCCCAGGTTCAATTCCGGTCAAGGGCATGTACCTTGGTTGCGGGCACATCCCCAGTAGGAGGTGTGCAGGAGGCAGCTGATTGATGTTTCTCTCCCATCGATGTTTCTAACTCTCTATCCCTCTCCCTTCCTCTCTGTAAAAAATCAATAAAATATATATATATTTTAAAAAGTACAGAGTTCCTAGTGCTCTTCTGATTTTTTCCAATGATTTAAAAATATAAAAACTGTTACTAGCTCACAGGCCATACAAAAACAGGTGGCTGGATTTGTCCCAACAAACCCCAAGCTGCCATATGCCACCCCCTGGCCCAGTGTTGAGGCAGGCACAAGTATAGCACTGCCCTATGCTCGGCCTTTCAGAAGGCATCATAAGAGCATAGAGAAGGAGCGTGTTTCAGACAGGTGTTCAGGTCGGGGAGAAAACTGCCCAGATGGTGTGGTTCAATGATTGAGCGTTAACCCATGAACAAAGAGGTCACCAGTTCAATTCCAGTCAGGGCACATGCTCAGGTTGTGGGCTTGATCCCCAGTAGGAAGTGTGTTTCTCTCTCATTGATGTTTCTATCTCTCTCACTTCCCCTCTCTCTAAAATCAATAAAAACAAATTTTAAAAAAATAAAGGCAGAAAACTGAGCATGGCCATGGCTTAGATACAACTAAGAGAACACACAACGAAACAAACAAAATATAAAGAAGGCTTCGTCCAAATGAAAAACTTGTGCTTCAAAGGAAGCCATCAAGAAAGTGAAAAGATGACCCACAAAATGGGAGAAAAATGTTTGCAAATGATATATCTGATCAGAGACTTGTATCCAGAATATATGAAGAACTCTCAGAACTCAACAATAAAAGGCAAATAACCCACTGAGAAAATGAGCAAGGGAATTGAATGGGCATTTTTACAAAAGACATATACAGATGGCCAACCATAGGAAAACACATGGTTCAACATCATTAACCATTAGAGAAATGCAAATCAAAACCACAAGATATATCTTCACACCCACAAGGAAGGCCATAATAAAGAAGTCGGACAATAACAAATCCTGGCAAGGACCAGGAGAAATCAGAGCTCTCAG